GGGGGGTTGGGGTGTTGTGTGGTGAAATGTGGGTGGTATCTGGATCCACGTCTTCAGAGGGAGAGAGGGCTTGTGGAAGGCCATTCTACGAAACAGCTTTCCCATTTGTGCATGTCATGGACACCTAGGTAATGAACCCACAATGTCCCTTTAGGGAGGGAATTCCAGGGATTCTGACCCAGCGACACTGAAGGAACGGCCGATATATTTCCAAGTCGGGATGGGGAGGGGCTCGGAGGGGAAGTTGCAGGGGGTGGGGGTCCCATGTATCTGCTGCCCCTTGTCCTTCTGGATGGAAGTGGCCATGGGTTTGGAAGGTGCTGCCTGAGGATCTTTGGTGAATCTCTGCAGCGCATCTTGTAGATGGTACACACTGCTGCGACTGAGCGTCGGTGGTGGGAGGGAGTGGGATGTCTTTTCATATCTGACTGTAGCCCCTCTCTCCCTCACACACGCACATTCTGACTGACTGGTCTTCCATCTCCATCCAGACATACAGCTAAAGGGCACATTCGTGCAACAGTCGGAGCGTCTGTATGGTATCGAGCCGATGGTGCTGACCAGGAACGTGAGCCAGAACGTGAGGGTCATCAACGCATGGATCAAACGACACACTGGTGGCAAGATTACCGAGCTGGTCAACGATATCACCGCAGATACCAAACTGATGCTGCTCAACGCTGTCTTCTACAAAGGTCCCCCCACCCACCCCGCTACACTCTCTCTCTCCCTGTGTGTCAGGGACCCTGTTTAAAGAGGGAGACTCTCTCTCTCTCTGTCTCTCTCTGTCAGGGACCCTGTTTAAAGAGGGAGTCTGTCTCTCTCTCTCTCTTTCTCTGTCAGGGACCCTGTTTAAAGAGGGAGACTCTCTCTCTCTCTCTCTCTCTCTGTCAGGGACCCTGTTTAAAGAGGGAGTCTGTCTCTCTCTCTCTCTTTCTCTGTCAGGGACCCTGTTTAAAGAGGGAGACTCTCTCTCTCTCTCTCTCTCTCTGTCAGGGACCCTGTTTAAAGAGGGAGTC